CCACTACATACTTGGTAGGTGGGGCAGTCAGAGATCAAGAAAACCATCCCTACCATAATGCCCCAAAGAGGAAACTGTCGAATCACTTGGTACTACTTCATGATGATGTCATCCTCATTGAGGGCTCACAACCTGACCAACTACTGGTTTCCCTTCAGTTTTGAAACTTCCCAGAGCTAAAGAGCTAAGTCCCAGTCACAAGTGCAGCCTTGTGGAGTGGGGAGTGGGGGAAAGGGGGAAGACCTGTGTCCCAGTGCCCATGTTCCAGCCTAGGCCTGTCTTAAGTACTCTGGCATCAACTTCATATTCAATTTACAAAGTCCACAGATTGAGAGAAATAATGAGGTCTACATGCAGAGTAAACTGAGGTTTCAATAAAATCAGAGATTATGTCTATTTCTTGCTCCTTCCCATAGCCACAGGTCTTCTGACTTCTGCAGTGTCTTATCTCTGAGTTCACTTGTGAAACACCCCTCCAATATACAATGGTGCCACTTAAAATATGCATTGCCCACTTTTCACATGACTCCATAGAGGATTATGGTCTACTGAGTGAGTTGACATCTTTTTATTACTCTCCTAATGTAACACCACAAATACGTGACCTAAGCAGTGCTCTATGACCTTCTGCAATACTGCTTCTAGGAACATACCAAAATGAATATTTAAGAACTTCAAGGGTAGTATTGAGAAGACAGTTACTTTCTGGTGAAGGGATCCAGAAAAAGAGTATAACATATTAACCAGATAAAGTATTAACAGTGCTGGAGTAGAGGATTATACAAGTGTATTATCTTCTACCAGAAGTGGTTAGGATGCCTCCTCTTGGAGGCATTATTCCCTTTATATTATTACTCTCCAGTTTATAATACTCTCCAGTTTTCACCTGTTCTCCATTTGCTATTCTTAAACTAGTGGATCAACTTAAACACATCACTGAGTACCGAAAGAATATTTGCTATATCTATTGTGCCTCCTACAGAGAATCCAACTGGTTCATCTTCAATATCACCACAGAAGTCAACTTACCACACATTCCTCCATTTAAAATATCCTGTCTTTGTAATAATTGCACCCTGTCCTATCTGGTTCCCTTATGTTCTTGTGCCCTCCAGTACCACAAATATCCATAGCCAGCTAGGGGCCTGTACAACTGACAGACTGCACTAAAAGAACTCCATTGACATCCTCCAGTAAGCAAAGGTCCATTGCATTGACCAGAGCTAGGCTATAAGACAGATCATTCAAGTGGAAGACACTGTCTTCATCCATGGTAGGAACTGTAACACTGCTATAAGGACACTTCCATCGCAGAGGTTATCATCTCACTGGGTTTCAAATATGTTTTTCTTCATCCATGTAAATAATCTTTTACCACTCTCTGCTCTACCCCTCTGTAGGAGATATTACACTTCATCCTATGCCCCAGTAGTCTGTGCTAATAACCCCATCAGCTCACTTGAATATGTCATGTGGAAAGCTCAGACTTATGAACAGGGAGGGTCTGAAGGAACATTTGTGGAAACAGTCCTTCCACCTTTAGAAAGACTTCAAGCATTCTCTTCTAAGCAATGTTCCAGCAACCAAAAATTCCTAATTTTGCTGATTAATAAACAGAAACTATAACTGAATAATGGTACCTAAAATAAATCTAGGGGAACTACCAGTACAACAGTTTAATTCACTGTGAGCCCTCTCTACTTGCCCATACTTAGAATGTATATTCCAAGGCAAGTTCTCATTTTGAACTTTGGTCCAGCTGTCCAAGCACCTATGAGACATAACTCTGGCTTACTATGTTATAGTTACTGTGTAAATTGCAAACATCTTCTCTGTGATGTTCTCTTATGGAGCCTTGGAGAGATCCCTAAATCCAGTATGAGATTCCTGGAGCATTGGTCAGTTCCTCCTTTCACCATCACCTTCCACAAATGCAACAGAACAGATCTGAATAAGGTACTTACAAACTTTTAAACTTTAATAACTTAAGTTAAAAGAGCAAAAGAAATAATCAGTTAAAATTACTTGATGATAAGTATCCTAACATTTATAATAACTATTACACAAATTCTATATTGTATTACAGATCCTGATTGACCAAAAGAAATCATGAGATAAATTATGTACATGGATAACAAAATTAAGAATATAAGAAATATAAAGAAAATATTGCCCTTTTGAACTGTTTACAAATTTTTAAATCATACACATAACCTAATGTTATTAAAGTTTAAAATTTTGAACATAAAAAGTGCCTCAAGAGTTTTATAATTTATCATATAAACAACCTGACACATTCACTTATTCACTTATTAAACATTTAACAGAATAAATGTCATTTTTCAGTAGTCTGAAAAAGAACAAAAATTCTGATAAGTTTTGGGGGTGTTTTGCTTTACATTAAAACAGTAGTGGTTGCAGAGCTATCCCTCATTTTAAGAAAAGCAATAAAAATGTAAAGATCTGCAAAATTAAAAGGCAGAAAACTAATTTATTCTAAATATTCTGAAACTGCACTCTTTAGTAATTAATGTGTGAGACTAGAGCCATCTACCGGTTGAAGTGCAATGTTACAAAACCCAACTGTTGGACAATTAACAAAGCAGGGAGCCCTAGTTGCAAGAACTGGGGGCAGGCACAAGGGCAGAAATCATCTGGTGTAGGACACTGGTTCAAAGGTTTAATAAAATACTCTCTTTTTAATCAGTAAACCCAATATGTGTAACAAAATAGGGTCCCCCTATAAAAGCTCCTGTAAGGGGCCTCCAATCCTAACCCTCAATGAAAGGAGTCACTGAACTAATTAGCCTGAGAAGTAAAGGCCAGGCCAATGAAAAGCCACGAGAGGTAGTTTGGGCAAATAACTGTGGTTTGGAAGAAGGCACAAAGAAGGAACAGCATTAGCAACACTGTCTTTTACCCATCTTTCCCCTCAAGACATCTTAGACACACAGTGCACAAAGGACAATGGTCAACAGTCACAGAGAAATGAAGAACAGGAGTAGGCACCTGAAAGGCTACAAAACTCTTTTCACAGGGACAGTTTATGTGCTCATTTGATTCCACTCTAGAAAACACTAGTATAACTTTCCTGAAAATGAAAAATCAAAAAAATAACGTTTTGACCAAAAACCGATGAGAACTGATTTTCTAGGTCCTGTGGGCTTTCACCACCCAAGTCCTGGACTGGTCTAGTTTTGGAAACAAAACCCCAGTTTCAGGTCCCAGTCTCCTCCCTTCAAAGGGGCATGGATGTCCGTAGAATCGAGGCAAGAAATAGAGCTTTCCAAGACTCCTCTCTGAGACAGAGACCCCCAGCCTGGACAGCAGCTTGTCAGCCAGGCTTGGGGTGACAGGCTGCAGCAAGGTCCCAAAGACTCGCAAACATTCCAAGGCCACATGAAGCACAGTACTCAGCCAGGGAGCATCCACTGGGCTATCCCAATTCAGCTTCCATGGTGCATGCCTTTGGACAAAACCATTAGTTTGCCGGACACAGCTGGAAACGGCCTCTAGAGCCTTATATATCTGAAAGTTATCATAGTGGTCTGCTACCCGCTTTGGCAAAGTGGCCACTGCACTCACCAGAGCATAATCCTCTGCCTGAGCACGAACTGATGGCCCCACCAACCCTGGCTCACTAGGGAAGCAGTTAGTGCAGAAGGCCGGGTAGGTCTCAGAAGGATTTATTCTTTTGGCAGTGCATCGGTTCAAGAGACCTCCCAAGGCATCTGCAAGCTCGGAGTTCAGCAACTTAACCACCTTTTCATCATAGTAGTCACAGTCCCAGTTGGGGACGCCCTGCCGAAGGAGAAAGTAGCGGAAGCCATCCACAGTATAGCGGTTAAGGCAAGTCCTAGGATCCACCACGTTGCCCAAGCTTTTGGACATCTTTTGGCCACAGACTGTCCAGTGGGAATGGACATAGATGCGCTGTGGTGGGCTCATGCCAGCCCCTAAGAGGAAGGCAGGCCAATAGATGGCATGGAATTTCAGGATGTCCTTACCTATAATATGAGAGGTGGCCGGCCACCAAAATTTGAACTCAGCATTTGGGTAACCAATTACAGTGAGATAGTTGACCAGGGCATCCAGCCATACATAGATGGTCTGCGAGTCATCCCCGGGCACCGGAATGCCCCAGTGCAAGTGGCTACTTCTGCGAGACACGGATAGGTCAGGCAGCTCCTCGTCCAACCACTGTAGAACTACGTGATGGAATGGTTCAGGGGTGATTGCCTGAGGGTTGCCCCGCAACCACCGCTGGAGTGGCTCCCGAAACTGGGAAAGCCTGAAAATGTAGTTTTCTTCCTTGGTCCAGGAGACTGGATGCCCACTCTCGAGAGACACAGGAAGCGAATCCCCCGATGGGCCCGGCTGCCAGGTGACCTTGGCTTCAGGCAGGAAGCACTCGTCGGAGGCGCAATACCAACCTTCATAGAGGCCCTTGTAGAGCAGACCCCGGGACTTAAGCACCCCCCAGAATTGCTGCACAGCCACCCGGTGCCGGGCCTCCGTGGTGCGGATGAAATCAGTGCAGGAGATACCGGCCTCCTGGAAAAGCTGCTGGAACTGCTCAGAGATTCGGTCGCACAGCTCGGTCGGGGCCAGGCCCGCAGTAGCTGCTGCCTGCTGAATCTTCAGCCCGTGCTCGTCGGTACCAGTGGAGAATCGCGTAGCAGCCGTGCTGGGACTTCGGAGGCGACGGTGACGGCAAAGGGCGTCCGCCAGGAGTGCAGAGTACAGGTGCCCGATGTGCGGAGCCGCGTTCACGTAGAAAATGGGTGTAGTGAAGTAGGCGCGCGCATCACTAGCATCGTCGCGGGCACTGAGAGAGCCCGAACCGTAGTAGCGTGGGCCGAAGTCCTCCAGGAGAGAGAGCTTACTAGCCCCCGTGCGTCCTAGCAGCCGGAGGAAAGACGTCCGCAGCATGGTGCAGACCGGCCCGAAGCGGAGGCGGAGGCGTTCTGACAGCACGTGTGACAGGCGCATGCGCAGCCGGGTCGCGCCGCGGCTTCCGGCCGGAAAGCCAATGAAACGCAGCTCCGAGCGCCGGCCTTCACCGCTCCGCCCGCGCCTGCGCCCTCCGCGGGCCAAAAGCCGCGGCGCCTGACCAGAAAAATACCTCCTAGCTGCCTGGTTTAGGAGAGGTTGTGAAAGACGACGAACATCTTTGCCTTTGTATAGCATACTGTGTTTCCTGCTTGGATTGGATTTTTTTTTTTTTAGACAGATTTTCGCTCTGTCTCCAGGCTGGATTGCAATGGAGTGATCTCGGCTCACTGCAATCTACGCCTCTCGATTCAAGCCATTCCCCTGCCTCAGTCTACCGAGTCATGCCCCAGTCAATACCTAAAATGTCATCTAAATTTTATCTCAGAGCCTAAATCAATCTCGAAGGGAAGGAGAGAGAAAAGAAGAAAAATCATTACCTACAGCACTTGAGAGAAGGATAAGAACTGAGAAAGTAAGAGAAGTCTTTTCTCTAAACACTTTTTGTTGAATCAACAAAAGTAGATTTGTGATCTGCCAAGTTCTTGCCAAAGTTTGAGATCCAGGAAAGTGGAGTGCAATATGCTGTAACTGAGCACATAAGGAATAATTTTCAAATGTATTTCTCAAAAATAGTTAATTTTGTTAATGGTCTTAAAGTTCTAAAACAGTGTTTATCAAGTTTGCTTTTAGTAATGGAACCCTAGAATATTTTTTAGGGGAGGAAACCTCAGGAGCCCAGAATTGAATTAATGTTAATCCGTGATTCATAACACACTCTCATCTTTGATCTTTTTTTTTTTAAGTGGCATATACATTTAATAATAAAATAGAATGGAGCAGCTATGAACCTGTAACCCAACCTAAGAACTAGAAATGGTTTCAGGGTGTGGTCCCCAGAGCAGCAGAACCAACAGCACCAGGAACTTCCCTCGGTAGGCCCCACCCCCACCTACTGAATCAGAAAACTCTGAGGGTGGGGCCCAGTAATTCAGATTTTAAGGCGATTGAGAAATACAGAATAGAAAATTACCAGTGATTTAGATCTGTGCGGTCCTTTTCTTCTCATACTGTCCTCCTCATTTTCCTGAGGCAGTCATTGTCCTGAATTTTGTTCTTGCACATGTGTGTTATCACATACATAGTGTGTCTAAGTAACATATTGTTTAATTTTGCTTATATTTAAAAATTCTAAAAAGGATATAATACTACATATAGTCTTCAACTTGCCTTTTTATTCAACATTTTCTTGCTATATTAATCCATGTTGTTGCATGTAACTGCATTCATATGTTCTTAATACATGTGGTTGCATGTAATTCATTCATTTTAACTGCTGTATGAATGAACACATAAGGTAACTTGGATCTGATTTCCTTAGTGATATGATGAAAGGTGGACCAGTGTAATTCTGTATAAGAGATACAAAGAGTAACTTAGGATACTAAGTTGATGCACTCTATTTTATCCAGCAGTTCAAGAATGACCTACAGCCATCTGGTCTTCAACACAATTGACAAAAACAAGCAATGGCAAAAAATTCCCTATTCAATAAATGGTGCTGGGATAACTAGCTAGCCATATACAGAAGATTAAACTGGACTCCTTTCTTATACCATATACAAAAATCAACTCAAAATGGATTAAAGACTGAATTGTAAAACTAAAACTAAAAACCTTGGAAAGTAACCTAGGAAATACCATTCTGGGCATAGAATCTGGCAAAAATTTGTCATCATGAGAATGCCAAAAGCAATTGCAACAAAAACAAAAATTGACAAATGTGACCTAATTAAAGAATTTCTGCACAGCAAAATAAACTATCAACAAAGTAAGCAGACAACCTACAAAATGGGAGAAACTATTTTAAAACTATGAATTTAACAGAGGTCTAATATCCAGAATCTATATGGAATTTAAACAAATTAATAAGCAAAAAACAACCTCATTAAAAAGGCAAAGGACATAAACACTTCTCAGAAGGAGATATATATGTGGCCAAGAAGCATATAAAAAAATGCTCAACATCACTCATCATTACAGAAATGCAAATCAAAACCACATTAAGATACCATCTTACACCAGACAGAATGAGTATTATTAAAAAGTCAAAAAACAACAGATGCTGGCAAGGTTGCAGAGAAAAGGAACACATATACACTGCTGGAGGGAATGTAAATTAGTTCAGCCATTATAGAAAGCAGTTTGGTAATTTCTCAAAGAACACAAAGCGTAATTATGTTTTGAACAGCCATTATAGAAAGCTGTTTGGTGATTTCCAAAAGAACATAAAGCAATCCCATTATTGAGAATATATCCAAAGGAATATAAATCATTCTACTATAAAGACACAGCACTCCCATGTTTATTGCAGCACTGTTCACAATATCAAAGATGTGGAATTTTCCCTAAGTGCCCATCAACAGTAGACTGGATAAAGAAAATGTGTTACATATACACCATGGAATACTATGCAACCATAAAAAAGAACAAGATCGTGTCCTTTACAGCAATATGGATGGAGCTGTACGCCATTATCCTAAGTAAACCAACACAGGAACAGAAAACCAAATATCACATGTTCTCACAAGTGGAAGCAAAACACTGAGTAAATATGGACACAAAGGAGACAGCAGACACTGGAACCTACTTGTGGGTGGAGGGAGAGAGAGGAGAGTAAGGATTGAAAAACCACCTGTCACATACCATGCTTTTTACCTGGGTGGAGAAATAATCTGTACACCAAACTGCCATGACACACAATTTACCTATATTACAAACAGACACATGTACCCCTGAACCTAATGCAAATTTTTTTTTAAATGGCAAGTAAAAGATAGATAAAACTTAAAACTGGAAGCCATATACAGCATCCTCCAGAACTGGGAGATAAATTGAGGCTAGGTGTCTGAGAAACCAGGTTATCCAGTGATTCTTACTATCTCTTTTCCTTTTACTCTGAAGAAGTGCTTCAACGTACAAGTGTGCTATTTTTTCTCCATTTAAAAAAAAAATTATCAACCCCCATTACTGCACCATTTCTTTCCTTTGCTTTAGAGCAGAACTCCTTAAAAGAAATGACTGTTGATACTCACTTAAGTGATTCAAGTTTCAGCTCTTAGGAACAATACTGCAATTAACACTGTTATATATTCTCCTGATATGTATATGCTAAAGTTTCTCTTGGATAGATACAAGGAAATGACATTGCTGGATCATAGAAATATGAGTCTTCCATTTTTCAAAATAATCCCAAGGTATTTTCCAATGGTTAAACAAATTTGCACTCTATTCAGCAATACACCGTTGAATAGATCTCTCCAATACTTAGTACTGTCTGTCTCAATTTTTGTCAGGCAAATAGGTGTAAAGAATTATCTCACTAGTGTTTATTTATAACAGCAGTGTTCACAATAGACAAAAGGCAGAAACAGCCCAAATGTCCATCATCTGATGAATGAATAAACAAATGTGATCTATCTATACAATGGAATTACTCAGCAATAAAAAAGAAGAAAGTGGGAAAGGGAAGATGATGGTTAGGAGACAGGGCTGATGTGCAGTTCCCACTGGATGGACAGAACAGTGTGTGGAGATTCATACCATGAATTTTGCTCCAGGAACCACTGTGGGAGCATATCAGGAAAACCAAAACAAATCACAGATCCTTTAAAATAAGTGGCAGGCCACTGCAAATTCTACAAGACAGGTGAAAAACTCTGGTGCTGCCTCAAAAGCACCACCTCCTGGCTGGAGGCCAACCAGTTTAGGACATTACTGCAATTCATGACTGAACAACCCTGATGGGAGGAAGGAGAAAACAATAGCTAATTCCACTGCCTGCAACATCCTGGCTAACCAGTGGTTCTGAATCTGTCCACCTGACAACTTCATTGCTGGCATACACAGCATTTGAGAAAACAGGCACACTAAACATATCTACAACCAAGGACTCTCACAGAGTCTGTGTCACTCCGCTACCATCTCCACCAGAACATGTGCTGGTATCCACATCTGGTAGACCTAAAAACTAATTGCATCACAGGACTCTTCTCAGACATTCTCCAGCACCAGCCCAGAGCCTGTTAGCCCTGCTAGATGGCCAGACCCAGAAGAACAATAACAATCACTGAAGTCTGGCTTGCCAGAGCCCCATCTTTAGGGGAAGGGGGAGTGCACCACATCAAGGGATCACCCTGTGGGACAAAAGAATCTGAACAGCAGCCCTTGAGTTTCAGATTGTTCCACTGAAATAGTCTACACAAATCAGCAGGAATCAGAAAAGTTATTCTGATATTATGACAAAACAAGTTTCTATAACACCCCCAAAAAACTACACTAGCTCCCAGCAACGGATCCAAAGCAACAAGAAATCTCAGAATTGCCAGATTAAAAATTCAGAAGGGTGATTATTAAACTACTCTAAAAGATAACAGAGAAAGAAATTTTAAAAAACAATACAGAGTATGAATGAAAAATGCTCCAGAGAAATAGATATCATAAAGAAAAAACAATCACAATACTTGGAAATGAAAGACACACTTAGAGAAATACAAAATGCACTGGAAAGTTTCAACAATAGAATCAAACAAGTAGAAGAGCTTCAGAGCTCGGAGACAAGGCTTTCAAATTAACCTGTCAGACAAGGACAAAGAAAAAGGATTTTTAAAAAAAATGAAGAGGCCGGGTGCAGTGGCTCATGCCTGTTATCCCAGCACTTTGGGAGGCCAAGGCGGGCGAATTGCCTGAGGTCAGGAGTTCAAGATCAGCCTGGCCAACATCGTGAACCCCTGTCTCTACTAAAAATACAACAAACCCTGTCTCTACTAAAAAAATTAGCCAGACGTGGTGGCATATGCCTGTAATCCCAGCTACTCAGGAGGCTGAGGCAGGGGAATTGCTTGATCAAGGGAGGTGGAGGTTGCAGTGAGCCAAGATTGCACCCACTGCACTCCAGCCTGGGCAACAGAGTAGGATTCCATCTCAAAAATAAATAATTAATTAATTAACAAAGCCTCCAAGAAAGTTGAGATTATGTTAAAACAACCAAACTTAAGAATAATTGGTGTTCCTGAGGAAGAAGAGAAATCTAAAAGTTTGGAAAACATATTTGAAGGAATAATCATGGAAAACTTCCCTGGCCTCACTAGAGATCTAGACACCCAAATACAGGAAGCTCTAAGAACAACTGGGAAATTCATCACAAAAAGATCATCACCCAGGCACATAGTCATCAGGTTATCTAAAGTCAAGATGAAGGAAAGAATCTTTTTTTCTTCTTTTTTTTTTTCTAAGACAGGGTTTTACCATGTTGGCCAGGCTGGTCTTGAACTCCTGACCTTAGGTGATCCGCCCACCTCAGCCACCCAAAGTGCTGAGATTACAGGTGTGAGCCACTGCAGGAAAGAATCTTAAGAGCTGTGAGGCAAAAGAATCAGGTAACCTATAAAAGAAAACCTATCAGATTAACAACAGATTTCTCAGCAGAAACCTTACAGGCCAGAAGGGACTGGATTTATCTTTAGCCTCCTCAAACTAAATAATTGCCAGCCAAGGATTTTGTATCTAGCAAAACTAAGCTTCATAAATGAAGGGAAAATAAAGTATTTTTCAGACAAACAAATGCTGAGAGAATTCACCACTACCATGCCAGCACTGTGGGTCAAGATGGCCAGAGGGAGACCTATGGTAATGCTAGCTAAATAATTATAGCTTGCTTGGCTGAGAGTACACAGAAGTTTATACAATGAACTAAACTATATTATTGGTGCAGTTAATTAGAAATCAAGCGGCAATAGGAGGCCTAAGGTAAAGACCATCTGAGAGCTCAGTAACACCAGGGAACACCTCGGGGTGGTTGCAGAGCTGGCAATACTGCTCTGGTCCCACGAATGCCTTCAACATGGAGACTGCATGAGGGCCTCATAAAGAGGGCTTATGCATAGAACTCTGAGAAGAGAGGCGACCTCTGCTCACAAAATCTGGGAGGGTCTTTGCAGATGGGAGCTGGCAAGGAGGAGAAAAGCCTTGCAGGGCAGAGATCACAGAACGCCTCAGGCTCTGCCTAGGTTCTCGGAATATGGAGTGATTTTAATTGCTCTCTGTCCTCAATGCTAGGGAGATAAAAAGCCCCTTGATGTATTGGGTGTGGTCAGACCTGGTGGATCCTCATCAGCTATACTTCTGATGCAGCCGCACCCAATTGCTCTCTGTCCTCAATGCTAGGGAGATAAAAAGCCCCTTGATGTATTGGGTGTGGTCAGACCCGGTGGCTCCTCATCAGCTATACTTCTGATGCAGCCGCACCCTGATAACAATCTGATAAACTCAGAGTACTAGTTTAGCATGTTTTAGAAGGATCTCAAATGCTGTTAAATGCTCAGAGCACTAATTTAAAATGTCTTAGAAGGATTATAAATGCTCTCCCCTGATATCTTACCCCTTCAACCTCCCCAATAAGATTATGAACACAATAAAAGTGTTTAGAGCCCAACACAATTCCCATGCTTGCCCTGGTGCCCTGGACCCATGCTGTAAATTCTACTCTTGTGTCTCTGTCTTTATTTCCTTTTCTCAATACCTCCTCACTGCCAATACTAAGGGCACCCACGTTTGGGGTTGGGGATGGTACCCAATAAGCACTACAAGAATTGCTAAAAGGAGATCTAAATCTTGAAACAAAACCTTTAAATACACCAAAATAGAAACTCCTTAAAACATAAATCTCACGGGGCCTATAAAACAATAACACAACGAAAAAAGGTATTCAGGCAACAGCCAGCATTATGAATAAAACAGTACCTCAAATCTCAGTACTAATGTTGAATGTAAATGGCCTAAATGCTCCACTTAAAATATTCGGAATGGGCCGGGGGTGGTGGCTCACACCTGTAATCCAAGCACTTTGGAGGCCAAGGCGGGCGGATCACCTGAGGTCGGGGGTTCAAGACCAGCCTGACCAACATGGTGAAACCCGTCTTAAAAAAAACTTTTTTCAGAATGACAGAATGGATAAAAATCCACCAAACAAGTATCTGATGTCTTCAAGATACTCACCTAATGCACAGGGACTCACATAAATCTAAAAGAAAGTGGTGGAAAAAGAGTTCATGCAAATGGAAACCAACAGTGAGCAGAAGTAGTTATTCTTATATCAGTCAAACAAATTTTAAAGAAAAAACAGTTTAAAAAGATAAAGAGGGACATTAAATAATGATTTAAAAAATAAGTCCAACAGGAAAATACCACAATCCTAAATATATATGCACCTAAAACAAGAGGTCCCAAATTTATAAAACAATTATTACTAGACATAAGAAATGAGATAGATGGCAACACGATAATAGTGGGGAACTTCAGTACTCCACTGACACCACTAGACAGGTCATCAAAACAGAAAATCAACAAAGAAACAGTGAATTTAAGCTATACTCTAGAACAAATGGACTTATCAGATATTTATAGAACATTCTACCCAACAACTGCAGAATATGCATTCTTTTCATCAGCACATGGAACATTCTTCAAGATAGACCATATGATAGGTCATAAAACAAATATCAATAAATTTTTAAAAATTGAAATTATATCAAGTACTCTCTCAGACTACAGTGGAATAAAATTGGAAATTAACTCCAAAAGGAACTCTCAAAACTATACAAATACATGGAAATTAAATACATGCTCCTGAATGATCTTTGGGTTAACAATGAAATCAAGATGGCAATTTAAAAATTCTTTGAACTGAATGGTAATAGGGACACAACTTATCAAAGCCTCTGGGAAACAGTAAAAGTGGTGCTAAGAGGAAAGCTAATAGCATTAAATGCCTACATCAAAAAGTCTGAAAAGCATAAATAATATAAGGTCACACTTCAAGAAACTGGAAAAACAAGAACAAACCAAACCCAGATCCAGCAGAAGAAAAGAAATAACAAAAGATCAGAGCAGAGCTAAATGAATTTGAAACCAAAAAACAATACAAAAGTTAAATGAAACAAAAAGCTTGTTCTTTGAAAAGATAAACAAAATTGATAGACCATTAGCAAAGTTGACCAAGAAAAGAAAGATCCAAATAAGCTCAATTAGAAGTGAAACAGAAGGGGAAGGTGGAGGCGGAGGAGGGCAGGCAGTTGCATCCTAGCGAGTGGGGAGTGCGAGACCTCCTCCGCTCCAGCTAGCTGGGTGAATGGCGCGCTCACGGCCCCGTAACGCCGAGCGTGGATAAAATATGCTAGGACTGCGCTTCTCGGGCTCATCAAGGCTGCGGGAGCCTCCCCGAGCCATCATCCTTCGTAATTGCAACCGTCAATCAACACTTTAAGACAAAGTCAGAACCGGGAAGAGCGAGCTCTGGAGACCCGTCTCGTCGGAAAGAAAAAGATGGAGGGGAGGTGGGGGGAAAGGAGAGAAGTTTGCCAGAAGTTGGCAGAGGGAGTGCAGAGAAATTGAGAAGGCGCAAGGTAGTTGAATAGAGCTGTATCCCCGACCCCACCACCGACTCCCAGGCCTCCCTGGTTCTAGTCTCTGGTCTCCGCCACCAGTTACAGTTCCCGCAGCGGTGCTGGGCTTCAGGACCGACACGGACCCCCCATCCCCGCCCGCGGCCGCCTTGTCATGCTGCCCAAAGTGGAGACGGAAGCCCTGGGACTGGCTCGATCGCATGGGGAACAGGGCCAGATGCCGGAAAACATGCAAGTGTCTCAATTTAAAATGGTGAATTACTCCTATGATGAAGATCTGGAAGAGCTTTGTCCCGTATGTGGAGATAAAGTGTCTGGGTACCATTATGGGCTCCTCACCTGTGAAAGCTGCAAGGGATTTTTTAAGCGAACAGTCCAAAATAATAAAAGGTACACATGTATAGAAAACCAGAACTGCCAAATTGACAAAACACAGAGAAAGCGTTGTCCTTACTGTCGTTTTCAAAAATGTCTAAGTGTTGGAATGAAGCTAGAAGCTGTAAGGGCCGACCGAATGCGTGGAGGAAGGAATAAGTTCGGGCCAATGTACAAGAGAGACAGGGCCTTGAAGCAACAGAAAAAAGCCCTCATCCGAGCCAATGGACTTAAGCTAGAAGCCATGTCTCAGGTGATCCAGGCTATGCCCTCTGACCTGACCATTTCCTCTGCAATTCAGAACATCCATTCTGCCTCCAAAGGCCTACCTCTGAACCATGCTGCCTTGCCTCCTACAGACTACGACAGAAGTCCCTTTGTCACATCCCCCATTAGCATGACAATGCCCCCTCACGGCAGCCTGCAAGGTTACCAAACATATGGCCACTTTCCTAGCCGGGCCATCAAGTCTGAGTACCCAGACCCCTATACCAGCTCACCCGAGTCCATAATGGGCTATTCGTATATGGATAGTTACCAGACAAGCTCTCCAGCAAGCATCCCACATCTGATACTGGAACTCTTGAAGTGTGAGCCAGATGAGCCTCAAGTCCAGGCTAAAATCATGGCCTATTTGCAGCAAGAGCAGGCTAACCGAAGCAAGCACGAAAAGCTGAGCACCTTTGGGCTTATGTGCAAAATGGCAGATCAAACTCTATTCTCCATTGTGGAGTGGGCCAGGAGTAGTATCTTCTTCAGAGAACTTAAGGTATGTCACCACCTATTACAACTTACAGTACCCCTTTTAAGAGAGACCTATGTTCCTAATTAATACATGTTTGGTGCTGAAAATGTGTTTTCCTTCATTTTCTACTTTGTATGATTTACAGAGTAGACGTAATTTTACTGCCTTGACTTCAGGACTCTGGGAGCTTAACTTTATGGGGCTTTGATTCTGGGTAGCTCTTAATTGGCGGGGGATGGCATTTAACATAAATATAGGAAACTTGGGCTTTTTTTCTAAATACTAGAACATCTGTATTCCTTTTAATTCAGATGGTTCGTGGCTTAACAAATTTACAGTCAATGTGAAATAGCACCTCGTAAACTATTTTTCTTGAAAGTTACCAAGTAAAGAGCTATATTATGATGGTGTCAAAAAAAAAAAAAAAAAAAAAAAAAAAAAAAAAAAAAAAAAAAAAAAAAAAAAAAAAGAAGTGAAACAGAAGATATTCAGACTGACACCACAGAAATACAAAAGATCATTCAAGGCTACTATGAACACCTTTACACACACAAACTAGAAAATCCAGAGGACGTAGATAAACTTCTGGATATATATAACCCTCTCGAATTAAACCAGGAAGAAATAGAAACTGAACAAACCAATAACAAGTAGCAAGATTGAAATAGTAATTTTTAAAATTGCCAACAACAAAAAAAGTCCAAGAGCAGATGGATTCACAGCTGAATTATCTCAGGCATTCAAAAAGAATATACCAGTCTTACAGAAACTATTCCAAAAGATAAAGAGGGAATCATCCCTAAATTATTCTGTGAAGACAGTATCACCCGAACGCCAAAACCAGGAAAGGACATAAAAAATGGAACATTACAGACCAATATCCATGAAGAACATAGATGCAAAAAATCCTTAACAAAACACTAGCTAACCAAATCCAATATATACTAGCTAACCAAATCCAATACTAGCTAACCAAATATCAGAAAGATAATCCACCATAATCAAGTGGGTTTCATACCAGGGATGCAGAAGTGGTTTAATGTGCAAGTCAATAAATGTGATATATCACATAAACAGAATTAAAAACAAACATCATATGATCATCTCAATAGATACATAAAAAGCATTTGACAAAATCCAGCTCAGCAAAATCAGCATACCTCAAGATAATAAAAGCCATCAATGGCAAATCCACAGCCAACATTATACTCAATGGGGAAATGCTGAACTCATTTCCCCTGAGAACTGGAACAAGACAAGGATGTCCACTTGTACCACTTCTATTCAACATAGTATTTAAAGTCCTAGCCAGAACAATTAGACAAGAGAAAGAAATAAAGGGCATCCAAATCAGTAGTGGAAGCCAAACTGTCACTGTTTGCTAATGATATGATCATATACTTGGCTGAGAACAGTGGCTCACATCTGTAATCCCAACACTTTGGGATGCCAAGGCAGGTAGATCACTTGAGGTCAAGAGTTTGAGACTAGCCTGGCCAACATGGTGAAACCCCATCTCTACTAAAAGTACAAAAATTAACCAAGCATAATGGTGGGCGCCTGTAATGCCAGCTATTTGGGAGGCTGAGCCAGAAGAATCTGCTTGAATTCGGGAGGCAGAGATTGCAGTGAGCCAAGATTGCACCACTGCACTCCAGCCTGGGTGACAGAGTGAGACTCCATCTCAAAAAATAAAAATAAAGCAAAAATAAAAATGATCATATACTTAGAAAACCCTAAAGACTCATCCAAAAAGCTCCTAAATCTGATAAATGAATTCAGTAAAGATTCAGAATACAAAATTAATGTATGCAAATCAGTAGCACTACTATACACCAACAACGACCAAGCTGAGAAATCAAGAACTCAATCAATTTTACAACAGCTGCAAAAAAAGAAAAAATAAAATAAAATACTTAGGAATATACCTAACCAAGGAGGTGAAAGATCTCTACAAGGAAAAGTACAAACACTACTAAAAGAAATCATAGATGGGCCAGGTATGATAGCTCATGCCTATAATCCCAGCACTTTGAAAGGCCAAGGTGAGTGGATCATGAGGTCAGGAGTTCAAGAGCAGCCTGGCCAAGATGGTGAAATCCTGTCTCTACTAAAAATACAAAAAAAAAAAATTAGCCAGGCATGGCAGCAGGCACCTGTAATCCCAGCTACTCGCAAGGCTGAGGCAAAAAATTGCTGAACCCAGCAGGTGGAGGTTGCAGTGAGCCAAGATCACACCACTGCACTCCAGCCTGGGTGACAGAGTGAGACTCTGTCTCAAAAAATAATAATAATAAAGGAAAGAAAAGAAATCATAGATGACACAAACATATGGAAATATGACCCATGCTCATGGATGGGTAGAATCAATATTGTGAAAATAAACATACTGCCAAAAGCAATCTACAAATTCAATGCAGTTCCCACCAAAATACCATCATCATTCTTCACAGAACTAGAAAGAACAATCCTAAAATTTGTAAGGAACCAAAAAAGAGCCTGCATAACCAAAGCCAGAACAAATCTGGTGGCATTACATTACCCCACTTCAAACTATGCTACAAGTTTATAGTTACCAAAACAGCATGGTACCCACATTAAAAATAGGCAAATAGACCAATAAAACAAAATAGAGAACGCAGAAATAAAGCCAAATCTATACAGGCAGCTGATCTTCAACCAAGCAAACAAAAACATAAATGAGGGAAAGGACACCCTATTCAACAAATGGTGCTGGGATAACTGACAAGGCACATGTAGAAGAATGAAGCTGGAGCCTCATCTCTTACCTTATACAAAAATCAACTGAAGATGGAACAAACAAATCTAAGACCTGAAACCATAAAAATTCTAAAAGGTAACTTCGGCAAAACTCTTCTAGACATTGGTTTAGGCAAAGAGGTCATGACCAAGAACCCAAAAGCAAATGCAACATAAACAAAGATAAATAGATGGGACCTAGTTAAAACAAAAAGCTTCTGCACAGCAAAAGAAATAATCAGTGGAGTAAACAGACAACCCTCAGAGTGGGAGAAAATATTCACAAACTGTGCATCTGACAAAGGACTAATATCCAAAATCTATAAGGAACTCAAATCAGCAAGAACGGAAATAAATAATCCCACTAAAATGTGGGCAAAGACACAAATATACAATTTTCAAAAGAAAATATGCAAATGACAAAAAATATGAAAAATTGCTCAACATCACTAATTATCAGGAAAATGCAAATCAAAATGAGGAAGAGATACCACTGTACTCCTGCAAGAATGGCCATAATTTAAAAATAAAAAAATAACAGATGTTGTCAGGGGTGTGGTAAACAAGGAACACTTCTGCACTGCTGGTGGGAATATAAACTGTACAACCACTATGGAAATCAGTATGGAGATTCCTTAAAGAACTAAAAGTAGAACTACCATTTGATCCAGCAATCCCACTACTTGGTATCTACCCAGAGGAAAAGAAGTCATTGTATGAAAAACACTTGCACACACTTGTTTATAGCAACACAATTCACAATTGCAAAAATATAGAACCAGCCTAAATGCCCATCAGCCAACAAGTGGATAAAGAAAATGTGGTATATGTATACCATGAAATACTACTCAGCCATTATTTTATTTGTATGAAATAATGGCATTCTCGGCAACCTGAATGGAGCTGGCGACCATTATTCTAAGTGAGGTAACTTGGGAATGGAAAACCAAGCATCATATGTTCTCACTTATTAGCGAGAGCTAAGCTATGAGGACACAAAGGCATAAGAATGATACGATGGACTTTGGGGACTCTGGGGGAAAGGTGGGACATGGGTGAGGGATAAAAGACTACACATTGGCACTGGATGCAGTGGCTCATCCCTGTAATCACAACACTCTGGGAGGCCGAGGCAGGTGGATCACTTGAGGCCAGGAGTTCGAGACCAGCATGGCCAACATTGTGAAACCCTGTCTCTAATAAAAATACAAAAATTAGCCAGGCGTGATGGTGCATGCCTGTAATCCCAGCTACTCAGGAGGCTGAGCCATGAGAATCGCTTGAACCCGGGGCAAGGGCGGAGGTTGCAGTGAGGTGAGATAATTCCACTGCACTCCAACTTAGGCACTGGAGCAAGACTCCATCAAAAAAAAAAAAAAGACTACATATTGGGTACAGTTTAGTGATGGGTGCACAAAATCTTGGAAATCACCACTAAATAAGTTTTTCGGGTAACCAAACACCACCTGTTACCCTAAAAGTATTGAAATAAAGTTTTGTTTTTAATTTTTTCAAAAGAAAATAAGAGTAAGTGAGTGATGCACTGTCTCTCTCTCTCTCTCTCTCTCTCTCTCTCTCTCTCTCTCTCTCTCTCTCTCTCACACACACACACACACACACACACACACACCCTCTTCTTCCCTGAAGCAGGCCATAAAACCTAGCTGACTTTCCACTGAAAGTAGGTCATAAAATCCTCATTTCAGATAAAGGCTTCTCCTTATACCCAAAGGAAAGAAATGTCCTCTTCTCAAGACACAGAGGCCCCAAGAGGAATCTTAACAAATAGGTTTTGCTGAGTTCCCCCAGTTTATTGCCATTAAATGACACCCTTCTGCCATTTAATCATACTTCTGCAGCCAGATTGTCCTCAAAAATACACAACTTTCCCTATTTCTTTAACTTTTTATTTCTGCAGGTTCCTTTGTAAAAATTTATATTAAATAATTTGAGTGCTTTTTCTTCTTTAAAAAAAAAAAAATTACTGGACGCAGTGGCTCACACCTGTAATCCCAGCACTTTGGGAGGCCAAGGCAGGCAGATTACTTGAGGCCAGAAGTTCGAGAACAGCCTGGACAACATAGCGAAAACCCATCTCTACTAAAAATAGAAAAACACTAGCTGGACATGGTGGCACCCCCTATAGTCCCAGCTACTCAGGAGCTCAGGAGGTGGAAGCACAAGAATTGCTTGAACCTGGGAGGCAGAGGTTCAGCGAGCTGAGATCACACCACTGCTCTCCAGTCTGGGCTGCAGAGACAGCCTCAAAACAAAAAAAAAAAAAGGAGAACCCAGACACAATATTATATGAAATATCCAGAACAGGCAAAGGTATACAGACAGGAAGTAGGTAAGTGGTTGCCGGGGGCTGGGGGAAATTGGAATGGAGAGTGAATGCTTACTTGGTAATGGGGTTTCCTCTTGGGATGATGAAAAGTTCTGGAGCTAGATAGGGGTGTTCATTGGACAATATTGTAAAGGTACTTAATGCCATTGAATTATGTACTTTAAAATGCCCAAAGTGGTAAGTTTTATTTGGCATTATGTATACTTTGCCACACTTTTTTAAAATGTGACCTTGATACGGTTTGGATTTACATTTCTCCAAATACAATTGAAGTT